CTGCTGACTTACTGTAGCTTTGCATTTTGTTCACTGTGTGAGAATTAAATGATTAACTCAGTGACCTGTAGTAACCAAAGGCTGAGGTTAAAAGTGGATTAGTAAATTTAAGTAGCCACAATTCCTGCATAAAGCTGAGTCTGTCACCTCCTGCTCTGGGGAAGGAACTCTGGCTTATGTTCTCCTCTCTGTAAGCATCTGTAAAGCTTTTTTTGCTGCACTTTGGAAAGATATGTTGTATTAATGCTTGTAGAGGGTTGCTGTCAGTAATACTTCTCGAAGAGCTTAGTGGAAATCAATGTGGCTGTCTCATTCTGTGTCAGGTGAACTGCTTGTTCACATAGAAAGTGAGCTGTAGAAATGATGATGGAAGAAAAGCATGGCTAGCCGTTGGCGAGAATATGGGTGCAAAAACATGCTTCAACTGGAAGCCACCTTCCAGCACTTGGAGCAGCAGTTGGCCAGCTGTCTAGGACCAATAACAGGTTGGAAGTTGTAAAACCTGGCACTATGAAAATGATAGAAATAAAGGAAGAATTGGACCATCCTGCTATTTTTCTCCCCATCTCCTGTAGGTATGATGGGAGACCGGTTACAAACACTGATAAATCTCTTAAGCCAGGTGACTATCTTGACTATCCTGCTACTTCACCTTGCGGCAGTCAGTGAAGACAGCTCTTTTGTACTGTCAGATCTGTGCTCAGTGTCTAGCAAAAGGAAAACACTGGAGTTTTTGGGGAAGGACTGAGAACAATATGCTCATCTATAAACCTTTGGTCTGTGTGGTTAAACCACGACGGTCTGTCATGTTTTGAATAGTTGTCACCCCTGCCTTTGTTCCTCTCATCTTAAACAAGGTACTATAGACCTGCAAAAGACTGTAGAGAAATAAAGATAACCAGAGCTCTGTGGTGACTCCTATACCAGAAGAGATTGAATAGTCTGTGATTCTTTCACTTGGAAAAGAGATGAGACAGTTATTTTAAATGTATTTAAAAAAAAAAATCTATGGGGTGGATCATGATTAGAGAACCATCATTCATAGGGCTTTTTTTCTTTCTATAAGCACAGAACAAGTGGAGAAAGTGTTGAACCAGGTGCAAATTTTGAAATAAGTTTAAATAATTGTGCCATATTTAAATAGTGGAGCATACAGCTCCTATTTATGCCAAAAATCAAAAAATGTTCAAGAGATGTTTAAATAAATCCATAGAAGAAAGTTCCATCAAGAGCTATGTAGAATAAAAAACAGATAAAGCTTTTGGTCCAGTAATCTGTTAGCTGCATATTGTGGAAGTCTGTGAGACTGTATTTTACATCTGTCTTGTTCGACTTTTTGACCTTTTTTCTGACTCAGTGCCACCATCATTCTGAGTTGGAGAGCTGATTTGCAGGTCAATTTTTTTTTCCTTCCAATCTCTCTTTCTAGGAGAGATTCTTCCACACAGCAGCTGGTTGCCCTCTTTCACATAGTAAGCAAATAGCTATATGCCAGGGTGGGTCTTTGTAATAACTGTATGCCTTAAAGATTATTTTTTAAGATGTCGGGGGAGAGAACATGGGATCTTACACTGTGGGTTTTAAAAAATACATATATCTGTACTTCTATTTAGCTTTAAAAAGATGAAAAATGAAAACAGTCCAGAAACCCAAAGAAGTAAAACAAGCGCACCGTGGGAGGAAAATGGCCCACAGAGGTAAGGCGAGGCATGATGTCGTAGTTACTGTGCAGTGGTAAATATCATGCCATGGCAATAGGTTGAAGGATATTGGTATAACATATTAATGTATTAACAGGGTCACAATAAATCTGTATTCCATATAAGGCGATAGGTCCTGTCATAGATAAATAATCAGTTAAAAATTAGGAAAGTAGGTGTAGGAGGAAGTGGTCAGCGGAGGACAGTCACCAGTGACTTTCCACAGGGATCTGTTCATAGACCTCTGCGACTGAGTATAGTTGTCAAAGACCTGGAAAAGGGGTGGTGATATTTTTGGTGATGGAAAAGAATTGTTTACAATAGTGAGAGTGAAAGTTATCTGTGAAGATTGACAGAAAGATCCCTAAAGTGTGCGCGACAAGTCACTCGATGGTGATCATATGTAGAGAGGGGCACAACGGGGCAAGAAAATAACCATGGATTTCTGGGTGAAATGTAGTGCTGTGGAGATAGGATGTGTAACTTCATGAAAGCATCAGCTATGTAGCAGACACAAAAACAATTAGCAGTTATTAGGAAAGCAAGTGAACAGCATTATGCTGTTCCGTAAATTTGTGGATGACATATTTGCTCCGTGAATTGTGAGTGCAGTTCTGACGTCCAAAGGAAAAGGCTTTGCGAGGGGCAGCAAGGATAATGAAAGGTGGGAATGGCTGTGCAGTAAATCTGTACGAGGATCATAGACCAGGCAGGACTCTTTCTTCAGTCTGTGAAAGGTATGATTTCAGGGGATGTGGTCTAGAAAACCATGAGTCGTACAGAGAAAGGAGAAAAAGATCAGGATTGTATTTTTTTCCAGTGTAAGAACTTGAGAATTTTAGATGAAGCTGTTGGTGGTGGTGTAAAAGCATTGAGAGAGGCAGTGAGTAGTCATACGAGTAGGAGACGAGTGGTGGTCCTTTAGAAGAAGTGCTGGAAGTTAGTAGGTTCCTGGGAGAAGCTGGGTGAGTCATGGAAGAGAAATTTCCAAGGGCTTCTGAAGACAGAGGTATAGCAGCTGGCTCAGTAAGGCCCCTGGACTGGGAACAGTAGGGAACTGAGAGAGCACTGGAGAGCTGTCGTACATATTCAACTTCTTGCTCCCGTCTTAAGTGGTTGCTTGTGGCCACTGTTTGAAACAGGCCACTCAACTAAATGGCACATTAAGTGCAACCCAGTATGGTCCTGCAAATGTGATGATTTGTATATATACATGGTGTGTCTTTCGGGGCACCGTAATGGTTCACCCCGTGCGCTCCTTCTGTAAACAGGAAGAGTTTCCAGAGTAAGGACAAGACAGTGTGTAAATATCTCTTGCTATGATAGGCATTTGTTTGTGAGTTTTGAAGAAGTGGTGTCATCACGTTATGGCTCCAGTGTTAAAATTGCTCTCAGGATAGCAGAAAGTTTCATCCCCCTGGAGCCAAAGAATGGTAGGATTGAGTTTTTGCAAGTCCATCTGTTCTAAAGGACTGTGGAGATTTAGACACATAAGCAGACTTTATTGCTGCACAGAGGCTTTTCACAGCTTCTAATAATAATTCTTATTGAGATGAACTGTGGCAGCTTTTCAGCCATGCAGGGCAGGGCTGTTATCAGCAGTCTGCAGAATCAGGTGAAGAAGAATGGATCCAATTGGAAGGCCAGAGGATTTTAGGAAAGCAGAAAGAAATACCTTAACTGGAATTTGGTGAGACTATCATATTTACCACATAGTTCTTGTAATGGGGTTAAGTAATGTTAGGTAAAGGTGTGTGGTCGGGTTTAGCATTGTTCCTCCAGAAAGTCGGGAAACCACCTTACAGTGGTATGTACTCCGTTACAGGCTCTGCTGCACTGTTGGAAAAGGTCCTTACACCTCTGTAGGAAGGTGTCACAGGATTCTGCACAGGCACTTGATAGTCTCTGTCTAATTTGGTAACAACCCCAACCCATTGGGTCCCACCCAAGCTTAAGTACATAACCTGAAGCTTGAAACACCTCCAGACAATTGTCAGAGGGCCAATGCACAGCATTGGGGTTGCACAGCAGAGAGCTGGAGCTGGAATTGTTTCACCATCCCAAGCATTAGCTCAGTGATGAAGACATATGTCGTGTCAAGAACACTGTTTTCATACTTATATCCATGGAAAACATAAAGCATAAAGGTGCATTTGAATGCCTAGCTCTGGGCTGGATAACTCATACTAAAGCACAGCAATTTTTATTATGCTAAAAAAATAGATGTGTGTACTTGGTTCTACATTTTGTAAGCTTAAAGCTGTTGGCATGGAAATGCTAAGAGGTCTTTCCTACATTTTCAAGGTTCACTGTAAAGTATTTACTGCTGGAAAGCAGTGCCATCTGCATCTGCATAGCATGCACACACACATAGATATATAGCTGAATATGCATATAAGTTTCTATGTGGGCCTTCTCATTTTTGTAGGCTGAATCTGAGTTAGCTGACCTAACTCTCCTGGAAGTTTTAAAGGTGACTGTTTGCTCTTCCTTTTTAACCCTAGTGGACTGTATAATTCTCCCAGTGACCGCAATAAATCACCAAAGTTTCCTTACTCTCGGCGGCGGAACCCATCGGGTGGCAGCGAGAATGAGTCTGGGCAGCCAATCCGGAGGAGGTAAGAGCCGCGGGGTTAATTACTGTTAACTGCTCACAGTAGAAAGAAATCTTGAAGTCCTGCATGCTCTGTGTTGAGTAAAGGATCTTGGAGACACAGCTGCATCCTGGGAAAAGGGGTACTCAAGAGCCCAGTTGTTAGTCCAAAAAACCCTAAGTAAGGACATCAGGTCAGCTTTTGAAAGAAGGCTTTGGTCAGGCTTGTGTGCTGTTCTGGGTACTAGGAAAATGATGTAAGAAATAGGAGAAATTGCATTTTCTGTGCATGCAAGATACTTGCAGTTGATGCAGCTATTTTTCCCGTGAGAAGGAAAGGCTTGGGGAATGTTGCATGCTTGACAATGAGCTTCTAATACAGAGCAGTGTTATGTTTTAAGTACACTGCTTTTACTTTAAGTGCAACAAAGATTAAACGAATGAGCCATAAAGCCGTCTTCAACGGTCTCATGTATAAATTACTTTACATTATACAGAATGCCAGCAAAAATATAACTGAGATACTTAATGTGTTTTTAATGGGTACACGCTGAATTGAGAAGTAAGATTAAATGAATGAAAATTCTGTGCTGTGTGTCCTGGATTATGTCCAAAAAGCGAACTACATGGGCAGTGCTGAAATGATACAGTTTTGAGAGACTACATGTTACCTGGGAAGATGTGTCTTGCTGAGAAGCTGCTTTCATTGCGAAGGTACCCTGGTGCTGTGATCTGCTGTGAAGTATAGACAAGCATAGCTACTGTGCCCTATTCATCTCCGTCTTCTAGGTCTGCCTTACGAGCCAGCACTTTGGAGTTGCATCTCCTTCTGAGAGCTCTGAAGTGATTACCTGTTTGGCTTTCAAAGCCAGGGTTTGCAGAGGAGAAGGCACAGCTATATCTATGAAGAAATGTAGTTAGATGTGGAGCTTTTATATTTGCCAGGTTTCTGAGCTGCTCCAACCCTTTTACTTGCCTTTAGCTCTCTACAACAGGAGCGAAGAAACTCACCCATGGTGTATGCTTAGTGACTTCATGCCTGGGTTAAAGTCAATATAGTTACGTTGATTTATCCTGTTGGATAGGGCCCTTGTAAGTGTTAATAGCAATTACCCTGAATGGGTTTTCTGATTCATTGCTAGCTTAGTTGTCAGAATGACTTGTTTGACTCTGTAAAAACAAAGGAATAGAGATGTGCAGTGCAAAACTGCCTTGTACCAAAAAAAGACAGTGTCTGTGCACTATTTAGTAGGAAATCTTTTGAGATGCAAAGCGTTTATCATCTGGGATTTGCATTTGGCTGATCTGCTTGGTGGACAGGTTGTCATGCCAATAGCAAATTTTCTCTTGGGCCACCACACTAACGAAATCTTTTTAGAAGTCTTATATCTGAGAATGTGAAGACTTACAATAGTAGGGAGATTGCAACCTAATTATGTCTTCCTGAATCTTGGTTTTATTCATGAACTTTCCTCTTCAAAATGTTTAATAACAATAGCCCTCTTGTTTATACACTCTTTACTGTAATTAAGAGGAAAACATCAGGATTTGCTACGCTGGAAACAGTAGGAAACTGAAGGCTAGCATACAATCCTTAACCTTGCGAGTCAGGGGTTTGCAGCGAGAGCTTGAATGGGATCATGCCTTTGCAACTTAATGCAGAGGTGTCCTGAAAGTTTGGAAACAAACACATGCCCTTTTGTCTCTACCTTTAATTCATACTGGAAAAAAACCTGTGTAAGAAGATGGGATTTTTTGTGTATTTGTGTTGTGACCCAATGGTGTTTCATTAAAACTTCCTTCATGTCACAGGAAAAATCAAAACAGTGGTGAAGATTCTGATTTAAAGCAAAGGAGAAGGTAAATATATGATCTATAGCCGCCATGCAATGACAGCAAAGGTACTGATCATACTTCAGTTCCCTGCATCCCCTCCCTTCCTTCCTTCCTTCTCCCCCATCTTCTTAAACCTTTAAAAGGCTGTGTGATTTTCTTTCCTACCTTACTTTTGCAAAAATGCTCTGTAGCATAACCTCATCGCAGCACAGATTCCTACGAGCTGCTTTGTTCATTGTTACTACACCGTGCTGGAAGCAGTTTGTGGAAGTTTACTAAAGGCCTGTCTGCAACTTGAAAGTCAGTTTCCAGAAATTTTAGCTTTTGGATTTTGCATCTGCATATTTTGTTTTGAGTTCTCTACCCTCCCAGTCCACTTTTAATTAAATCTGTTTTGAAAGCAGTTTTACTGTCATTTGGGATGAATTGTCCCGAAAAAGATGGGTGCAGAGTCATGTACAACTTCTCATGGGCTTGCACAGTTTTTGCTGAACTTTTTCTTAAGCTTCTTTTTTTTCTTTCCTGTGCAGTCTTGATTAGTTGTCACATTTCCAGATAAAATGCTGGTGTGAACTGGGGTGTGTCCTTCTACAACTGCAGCTTTTGACAGATTTTTGCATCTGGAGTTCTATAGTGCCACATCTGCCTGCTGTTACTTTGTGCTGTGCTTCTCACTCCTGTGCTCCTGCCCTGGCTGCTGGAAAAAGGAGAGTGTGCAGTGCATTTTGATACCAGAGTCTCTCGAAGCGAGCAGAGGGGAGACACTCCCAGGATCTGATTCACTGCTGCAGCATGGGAAAGGAGCTCTGGCAGAGATACAAACATCTCGGGGACAATCGCGGGAAGTCAGGGAAAGTGCTCACGTACTTTGCACCTATTATAAGATAACATTATTTTTCTGAAGATTGTTACCATGACAAGCTCCCAGTAATAGTCTAATAGTCCCATGGTGCATGTCCAGCTCATAAATCTGAGAGGATTTAGTTAGGCATCTCAGGTGGAAAACCCCAGTGTTCAGAAGAGACTCTTCCTGAAGCCTGTGCCTGCTGTATTACATTACAAATATACAGGTTTGTTATTGTGTATTGGAACAGACCTTCTCCACTTCCTCATAGTTTCGCTACTTTTCTCCCATTTTAAGCAGAAAAGGACTGCACCAGAATACTAGCCTTCTGTGTCACCTGTTTCTCTGACGCAGCAAATCCTGTGACCCACCCCACCCCCCAAGCCCCTTCCTGGGTTGTATTTGTTCTGTCTCTCTTGCCAAACTGACTATGCCTTCTCTCTTGCTCCTTGTCTCAAACCATGTACTATCTGCAAAATATCAACTATTTTGCATGACCAAGAAAACATGAGAAAAGATGAAAGGTTCTTTGTAATTGCTAGAGCGTTCAGGGTGATCTCGTGTTCTCGCACCTGACTTAGGAAATAATTTTTCTTTCTATTTTTGGTATTTTATTCAGTTCAGTGAAAGCTGATGTTTAATATTCAGTGAAAGATAATATTCTGACAGCCAGCATGAGCAGCTGCCACTCAGCTGACAGCTCAGCAGCCCTGCTGTCTCTCTGCAAGTGCTTTCCTGACAGGGAACACAAGGTAATTTGATGTGCAGTCTCCAAAAGGTGGATCAGATTTCCATTCCTGAAAAGTTACAGGAAGGCTTATCTTGAATTCGAGAAAATAGGATGTTTTATCTTGCACTTCTCCTGCCACACTGATTTTTGCTGCCTTGTTACCTTGTGGGATAAATTACTTAAATTGGAGTAGGAAAATACATTTAGTGCTGAGAAATGTAGAAGCACAGATGACCTTGAAGTGTGAAAGAACAGTGTTGCTTGGATGACCTAGTAAGGTTGAGATTCAAGATTAGTGGAATATTTATTAAACATCTGATAGTATCTAGGAGGAAAAAGAATATACTTCTGGACATGTAAGGTCTGCTGCAGTTCTGTGCCGTTAATTGCTCTGAACTCTCTGAATGTGCTTGAGCCACTCTTTTGGACACCATCTTTTAATCTTCCTTCTTCCTTCCATGTTACATTTTTCTGTAGTAACATACATCTTTCTTATCCTCACTTTCAGCTTGACCCAGAAATGTGTATTCTTACTTGGGAAGCTGACTATCCTGAGCCTCTCAGTGTCTTTAAATTTGGGGGTGGGGAGAAGTTTCTGCTTCTTCTCTGTGGAAATTTTGCTTTTCCAAGCCTTCTCCCTACAGACAAGCTAGGTTGAACTGATTTTCCTAGACCTTGGTTGTCCCCTTATTCTAAAACATTTCTGTTTGAATGGGAGCTCTTTGAGTTAATGATTTCCTGGTCTGGGAGAGGGGCAAGACCAGACTTGATAGACGCTGAGGCATTTAGTGACAAAGCAATTTGATAAAACCTTGATTCACTGGTATTATGGGCAAATCCATGAGACTCTGAGCTGTGTCAGAAGGACATTATAGCAATGTCCTAGTTTCAGAGGCAGGGGTAGAGTGATGGGTCCCTGACCAGATAGGACACTCAGGGGAGGTCTGTGCACCAGCCATCCTGTTCCCTAGGAAGTCTCTCTCAGCTGCTCTCATCCTGTTTGGGCTCTTCTCCCTACACTGTTAGAACATACAGCGAGCAGATGCTTGTCAGTAGCCTCCAGCCTTGTCATGAAATCCTTCCTCTTACCTGTTCCTTACCCTAATGAACTACCTTCACTCCTCAGCTTGTTTGAGGTGTAGTTTAACAAATCTGTTCTATTGCAAAAGTGACTTGTCAAAGAGCAGAAGAAAAGCCTGGAGGCACAAGAACATACGTGTGTTGACCAGCAGCATCAGGAGTCATAAACAAAATAAAACAAACGAAAATGCAGTGCAATGGCTCAAAAAGAAAATCTCGCTCACTTGACACTGCACTCTGAGACTGCAATAACTTTGAAGCAGTTATTCCCACTCAGTTAATGAGAAAAAGATAATAGGACTTCCAGGTGTAGACAAGCCCTGTAGAGTCTCTTAATTCTGATTTTCTCAGTAATGTCTTTGCGGTGTTGTTCATTCCTTGTTTAGAATCTCAGTACTTCACATGTTAGTAGGCAAATTCATTTTGAGATGTTGCTTTTCTCCTCTCCAGATCACGGTCTCGCTGTAACACCAGCAGTGGCAGTGAATCAGAAAATTCCAACAGAGAGCATCGGAAGAAGAGAAACAGGTGACCTTTATGTATTTTAAATAGAGACATGAAACACAAGTGGAGATGGACTTTCCTGAGATGGACCTAATAAGAAGGAATTTAATATATTTTAGGTGTATACAGTCTTCTTGAGGCAGCTTAAGGTCCCTTTTTGAGTAAGAGAGAATTGCCAAAATACATATGTATTTTGGC